GAATCACTCTAGTGGGACTCACTTATTCATTTTTAAAGCATATGTTTTATAAACGCAGGTCAAATTTAAGACCAAGTCAAGTCCATCATAAAACGTGAAAAGTAGGCCACATTGTGGTAGATTAATAGGTTTAGCCGGTTTTTCACGTTTTTTAAATAAAAATCTGTACCTTAGAATTTGTTGCTTTTTTCTGACTCGCCTCCTAGTTGTCATAGTAATATCGGAGATTGACGACAGATTCGGACGGAGGTCGTTCTTCTTATAATAATATATCTTCGTTGTTTTGATTGTAACATTAACCTCCTCCGCGCCATATCCCTCCTCGCCCCACCGCTTTCCATGTCGTGCTTGTGACCTCGCCTGTTATAACCCGTCTGTGCGTGGTTGGCGGGTGCTCTGGTGTGGTTTGCTCCTCCTTTTCTATAAAACGTCTTTCGTCCTTATCTCTCCTCCTTTTTGTGTATGTTACTCTTTAGTAACACATCTATACTTCAGCACGTATATGACTTTATTGTGTTGCAAGTGCCGTAAAACTCTTACTAAAACTAAAACAGAACCCGTCCCTTATAGAAAACACCTCCCATGTGTAAATTTTCTGATAACATTATGTCCGGGTTTCCCTATGTGTAAAATTGTGGGGTTTATCTTCCAGCAAACAGCGTAAATAAAGACGTATAGTAAAAATAATAGGTTGTGTAAGACGATGTGTTATATCGAGGGTTGTGTTTGTTTTGGGGCGGAAGGGTGGAGGGCACCAGTGAAAGTAACTGGAATGTCCTACTCCTACTTCTTTTTTTTTTCTTTCCCTCTGTGGTTTCAGTCTGTTCTGCTGTTCCGTTGCCCTAAATAATCGTTATCGTATTCATGTGCTTGTCATTACTCAAACAAGCAGTCTGTTTTTAAATTAAAGAATACATTTGCTTCCCATGGTGGGCTTTTCTTTTGCTTCTCAAGCTTTTTATTCTTTGTGTTGAGAAGAGATCGTGGAAACGAAAGCCCTCTACACAGGACATAGCATGGTTGTGATCTTTACCTTGTCCTCGTCTTACACCAGGAGAGTAGTGCTGTTTGAGTTGCAATTTGTTCAATGCGATAAAGGATTGTAGTGATTAATGCATAGATTTTGCTGTTCAGATGGAAGCTTTGCTATACAAGCTATCTAGTTTATTGTTATTATACATTATTACAAAATGTGAAAATTCAAAGTGTGGCACGTGAGTGGTTGGCGGTGCTTTGGTGTGGTTTACTCCTTCTTTACTATGAAACATCTACTCTCTTGTAGAGGGCTCTCGTGGCCTAGAGGTTAAGGTGTCGGCTCTCATTCAAAGGCCCCGGGTTCGAATCCGGGTAGCGACCGAAACATTTTCTTCTCTAAAATTGTCTCCTTTCATCTTCTTTCCTGGTCCCTAACAATGTTCTGTCGTCTGCTTTCGTCTCCACGTTCTGCCCCTACCCCCTCACCTCCTTTGCCACCTCTTCGGGGATCTTTCTGCAGCCTTTCTACTGCTACTCCTTAGCTCCTTCTTACTGCTGTCTTTCAGCCACACCCTTGATCTTCTGGTTGGAAAGATCTACACCTAGCCTAGCTTTCTCGATCAAGGGCGGAAAATCTCGGAGGTCCCGTGTGCCAGTTGTGCACGTTAAAGATCCCTTGGTGGCCTAAAATCGATAAGAGTAGGTTTCGGCCGCCACCCGGGCAAAATTCAAGATGTCTTACCAACTCAAAATATTTAATTTTTCCCGCGCGCTCATGACCTTATGCAGTTGCGAGCGCCGTAAAACAATTATTTTTTGAAAAAACTCTCTAGTAAGACCTCTCATTTTTGGCACTTACAATATGACCTAGTTTGTTTTGCAAAATTCTTACTAAAGCTAAATAATGAAACACTCACGTTTCACACGCTTTATGAGTTTCTTGGGG